ATTCTTCATTGAAAAAAAATAATCTGCACCTTTACCTCTGCTTGGTATCCTTCTCTTTTGGCTCATATTTTAAATCAAAAACTCACTATTTCCAAGAGTCATGGGCAAACAAGGCTGAAACAGACTCAACATGGGGATTTCATTTCACTGTACTCTTTCCAACAATACGTTTAACACACATTTATAATTACTTTTAAAAAGTCCTGCATGTTAGATTTTTTAAACTGTATATAGTAGGTGCATATCAATCTCCTCAGAAGAAGGCACCCTCTTTCTGGCAGAATTATCAGGACTTCCTGTTTTCCAAAGGAAACACAAGGTTATGGCTGACAGGATCTCATCAGGCGTGAGTGACTATGACAGGGCAACACGTGTCTCCGAAAGAAGTAAGGAGCTGTGTTCTCCACTTCAGTCAATAAGAAGAGGAAAAAAAAACTTTCCATGGAATGTTTGACTTTATTATTTCTCCTGGACTGCGACAACAGGGATCAACAAAACTTGTGTTACACCACATGCTGTTTCACTATACTTGTCTAACAGATTTAACCCTCAGGGCAGATTGTAGAAATGAAGACTCAATCAAAAAATATGCATTTGAGCAGACAAATACTAAGGAGGAAGTAGGGGTCAAAACGGATCATAACAGTAAAGGAAAAAATGGTATGGGAAAAAAACATGGGTTTGACAGTACAAAAGGGCTGGGTAAGTGAAATAAAATAGATATAAACTTTCTAGACATATACTGTTTTGGCCATTTAAGAACATTTGACTACAACTTCTATCTTCCCCCAGAGCCAATCATGTAGCTTAGAACTGTCATGCTGATGTCTCATTTATAACCTTAGACACTAATTTGTTACTAACATTAAATTGCTGACATCACTGTGAACATTACACTGCACTAGTACATTATGTACCAACATTGTACAAAAGTGCATGACAGGTCTGACAACAACTGTGACATTCAACATTTAGTTTTGCACCTCTCAGAGACAAAATCGCATTCTGCCCTTACAGTGAAAACAGTATTCAGTCAAATGGTCCACAGTCATGATTTGCCTGTGTAGTTTTATGGCTTACATCTGTCAGCATATGAGTCAATGATAAAACACTGTGCATATCATCAATTGTTGACACAGCTTTCAAAATATTTCACTCCACACACACACCTATGCATTTTGTCCAGATTTTATAATCATACAAAGTACCTTGCTTGTTTAGTCAGTCATAAATGCTTTACATGCAACAAGGTAGTACATACTGAAAAAGTGATGTTTGCTGGGTTAGCACATATTAAAGATGTACTGTACTTAGAATTAAATAAATCAATGGGAAGTTGTTGTTTCCAACTGCCCCAAGGGAGTTCCTCTCTTCAACCACATCTCCACCTTTACATTTTTAGTTTACATATGTAATTGTCATGACATTTGTCCAGGAAATGGTAAATCGTACACAGGCATTGTAAAAGGTATGAGGGGCAGGGGAGAAAGGTGAATCAGTGGGCTGCCAATATGAGGAGATTAACTAGAGATCAACCTCCTTCTTCTGAATGTATGACCAGCTGGTCCTGCCTGGTTCGGTGCTCGCCCACTGGGAAAACTCCTGAGACTACAGATGACCAGTGTGCTTGCGTTAGCAAATCAAGCCCTTCTGTGGTTGTCTTGCTTTACCCCTACCCCCTTACTCTACCCCTGAACCTCGAACAAAATATCCAAATTTGTAATAGTTGCATGAAAAGACCATGTAAAACATTGAGGACAAAATAGCAAAGGAGATGAGAGTCTATTGAGAGTCATGATGATGGTAAAATGGGGTAACGAGGGGAGTGAAGAGTAAGAGAATTAGCTAGTGGAGAAGCACAAAGAGCCATGTGACTGAAAAAGAAATCTCCAACCCTCCCACACTCTAGTGACAATCTGATGCCAGCTGGTCTGACCAAAGCGTCCATTCACTGGGCTTCCAGGAAGTGGAGGAGAAAAAAACAAAAAAACAAGACTTTCTGAAAAGGGGGATATGGCTATCTTCTATCAAACTCTGTTAGGATTTTTGCTACCAGCAAACAAATAGGTGGTACTGAAGCTGATTGCCACGACTAATCCCGAATGAGCATTTCCACCATCGAAACACTGTGCATCACCTGGGAAAAAGTGATTCAGGTACGACCCTGGATGCAGGCTGATACTATCATCGGCACACAAACCTGGCTTAACTCCTAGGCAACCAAAAGCATGAGTAGTGAGGACACTGACATTTGACCCCATACCAAAATCCTAATTTTGCCAAAGTTTTATGACACTCAAAATTAACGAACTATGAATAGTTAAGTTTGCCAAGAAGTCAAGCTACAACATATGCAGCAATGATGAGGCAAAGCGAAGTCCCCCAGAACAACAGAGGAGATAATTTGTTGAAAAACCATCATAAAAAACTACAAACTACAAAACACAACAAGGTATACTTAGAGCAGCTATTGTGCTTTTCCTTATTTTCTGTCATACATATGATGTTACAATGTTGGATGTCCATATTAAACGTGGCCATCCCTGTGACACAAAAGCTTGTAACTGGCGCCGGCTGACACACTGTTGCTGTCTGTGCTTATACCATTTCTGGTTTATTTTGCCTGCCCCCCTGTCCCTGAAAGTTGACGGCATTGGTTCTGTAAGTAATATAACTTATGAATCCCTGGCTGTCTAAATCAGTTTTTATGAGATTGTCATTGGTTCACGGTAGTTGTTCCTAAGTGGAAATGTGCAGTCCTGGCATTGACTGCTTATTTGCTCATGATATGTCTTGTATTATATAAAAAACATCAAATGGACATGTTACCAACGTTAAAAACTTGATTTTCGTCAGAGGGAGTCTTTAACAGGGCTTTTGTTGCTCTGCTGACGTGCTGCAGTAAGCGTATTGTCTCATATCCGGTTGCTGGTGTTTCTGTTGTTAACATGCTACTTAGATCTGCTAGTTATTTTAGCTTCCCAGTTACCAATGGCTTCTCTCTCTCCTGCTCTCTCTGTTCGGTGTGTCATATGTTTTATTATTACTCTGCAACCTTTAGTAATAATGGTACATGTAATGAAAGTAGTTTATTTGTTGTAATGGAAGCAGGGCCCAGTGAATTGGAAGCCCTCCTCTGCTTCCCTGCAGCTCCCGAGCACCTGGGAAACCAGAGTGGTTGGGTGACTGCTTGTAACGGTATAACCCTAAGCCCATACATGCCCAGCCATATACTAGGTTTATACCTAGTCTTGTTTGAAAAATATTCTATAAATTTAGCAACAAATGTGCTGAGTTGGCAATATTGCAAGCTATAAATGCCCCTGTAATAGAACCTGTTTGCTTCAATTAATTGAAAGAGCAACAGCCAATGGGAAAGAACTCATGTGGGATTTGGCTGACCAATGGTTGAAATATGATCAGTCAGTCAGTCAGTCACATTCGTGATTATAGGGCTGGCCCTGCTGTTGCAGTCCATCCAAAAATACAGCACTGGAAATTAGCATAATAGGTCCCCTTTAAGACGTGTCTCAATACAAATACAAAGATCTTCTATGTTTTCACTTGTTGTATTTAATAAAATGATAAAGTTGGGGAAATCTACTAACTCTGGTGTAGCACTCAGTGACCAGAGTGTTTGATGACAATTGTGACTCTCTAACAACCCAACAAAGGAACTCTTGCAATGATTCACCATTCTGTAACTTTGTATTATTTGATTACACACAAATATTGCATGTGATCTGTCATACTGGTTGTTGTGCCATGTGTTTGTTACAAGGAACTCCCATATCTTCTCATGACATTCAACTACCAAAACCAGTTTCCTGTATCAGTATCAGCCTCTATATGCTGGTGTAAAAGTCCCCAGTTTGTTTGTGTGAGAGAGGTACTGAACAGGGGTTACATTTTAGAATTGTTGTGTATGCAAGTCTACGGGAAAATATCTAGAACACTTGAAATGCCAAGTGGTATTTATCAGGACAGGAATCTTGCAATCTTGAAGATTGCATATGTTTACATTTATATACATTGTATGTCCATATTGTGTTGCTGTGATGTTTTTCTTAACTGGAACATTGGGGTGTAATATGCTTTTTTCTTTATTCAGCACAAGCCATGTCCTCTGTGACCTGTTTCCTTAATTCTGCATATATCTTTCTAAATATTTCAGAATGAAAAAAATCCTGCATTTACACCCAAACACATGTATAAATTATGGCTGTTGTATAGTACAAATCCATTCAAATTCCATCAGAGACAATTCCAATAAGAGTTTAACAGGCCTAGTGAGGTGAGCAATATACAATAACAATAGCAAGAGCTTGGCAACAGAGAGCAATACACAAAATCTGCATCCTCTTGGATGTAGGTCACACAGCCAGAAGCAGACGGAGAAAATATTCATTCACGATGTAGTCCTATATTGCATCTCCAGTTCATTTCCCTATGCATTTTCCATAGTGTTTCAAAGCATGAGTGGGGGAAGGGTTGACAGATCGGATCTGTTCCTCAGCCAGCCTGCTGAGGCTCACCATATCATGAAGATGACTGGGTCTGATGGGAATCTAGTAACTGCTGTGTGGTTACGTGGATAGCAAAAGGCTGAGGGAGTCGGGTGGAGTTCATCCTTCTCAAGGCATGAAAGAAGGTTGAATGCTTGGGGGGGGGGGGGGGGGGGGCTGTCACACTGGAATGATTGTCTCTTTGTTCCTCCCTCACTTGTTCTTTGTATCTAGACAAGAAAGACGGGTATTTTGTCTTTCCCATGTCTGTGCTTGTGACAGGTGTGCTTGTGCAGGGTTTTGGTGCCTGATTTATCTAAGCAATAACTTCTGTGTATTAGATTCATAATGGTGATTGGTACTAGAGGATTTCTTACACAGATGTAAAGATTTGATAATCTCCTGTCAACGATGGTCAAGGTGAAACATCGACGGCAAAAATATGAAGTCTTGGACTACAGCTTATTTTTACTAATTTCATTTTTTAAGACCTACCACGATGTGATGAAAGAGGAGCTCCCAGGACTGACTCAGCTTCTGGTTCAGCACCATGTCAAAGAAGTCATAGATGAAGTAACCTGTGGGGATAGGCAGCATTTATCCAAGGTTAGTGTTTTTAGGTTCAGCAATTAATTATTCAACAAAAACACAACAGATTCTTTTAAAAGGAGCAGCTGAGTTTATCAAGTTAGTCAGTTTCCTGCTTCCATGACGACAGCAATGGCAACCAAGATGTGTCTTGGAGAGGGGCTATTCATATCCACCACCCCCAACCCTTCCCTGCCACCAGCCGTATCCATGGTTACAGCTTTTCAGAATGCTGGAAAAATAATGAAGTGTTGACGATGGAGGATGGAGGGGTGCACTGGAGCTCAGTGCTTTGGTGAGGCTGGAATCAACCCCATTATGTTGGAAATTTGCTACCAGGGCCCTTCTGTCAATGTGATGACATGTTTGGGTTTGTCTCACCATAAACAAATGCACTTGCTACCAGCCACAGCCCAAATAATTCTTGCAAGATTGCTATCAAGAATTTGATTTATTTATTTTCATAATCTAGTCTCCATAATAGTTCATGTTGTTTCAAGAGCACTGACAATGGACAAGGGAAATTCCTACCAAATGCAGTCTTTTCAACAATAGATTTTTTCGCAAGAGGTTGAATTTGGGTCAAGATTTGCCAAGTTTGTTTATTCAAGTTTTGAACAGCAAAGAGGAGCATGTGACAAGTGCCAATTCACTGACATCTCTTTTCTTGCTCATGCGTTTTTATAACAATGTATTATTATTATTCAAAACACACAGGTGGAAAAATGAAGTATGACTTAGTGACAAAGAGAAAAACTGATCTTGCTTTTTTTTTAAGCAGATTATTTCTATTTATATTCTGCAAGATGTGCACGATGCCATTGTGAAGCCTTGGCTCAGGACAGTTAATATCTACACTGAGAAAAAGGGAATCAAACACAGCTTGACTTTTCACTTGCTATCACCCAAAGCCTGTATAGGGCAGTCAATGGAATAAAAAGTTAGTGTCTAGTGAAGTAAGTGATCCATTTACTTTTGTCCATTCAGTATCCACTGGAGTGAAACTCATGGGCATGTTTACATGAATGGGGAATTCCTTTCTTAAACCAGTTATTCAAACAACCAGGTTTTAGGCTGATACATGCCAACAACATGACTCTGGTGGAATAACCTGGAATAACCCAGTTAAGTATGAGGAACCTGATTAAGACACCTGGCTTAGTCTGATACCAACCAAGTTACTGTAGTATATAAACATTTTAGTAGATTTTTTGTTTTTGTGGTTACAGAGAATTGTTATTTAAACCGGTTATTTGTAGCAACATGGAGAATGAACTGCAGAGTATTGTTCTGGGCACTGGACAAGGTCTTCATTCAGCAAGTGGACAATCATTTATGGCATGTCACTGCGAGGTTTGCAGCGTGGTATCCCAGCATGCTGGGCTGAATGCACAAATCTGGTGTACAAAGTTCCCCTCAGAACTTGCTGAAGCCTCAGAAGAATCATACCACATTTCTTGTGGAGAGTTTGGGAGAAGCATCCCACTTGTATTTGCATAGATGACTCCCCTCTCCATTATCATTGGCATCTGATGTGGATGGCTTGCATAAATCAACTGACTTTTTGCGCAGTTACTGTCTTGGTGATGTCACATGACTGCAAAGGGTTACGCATGGTGCCTGGGACCGATCATAAAGCCCTCCATTGATCTGCACATACCAACAGTGCTCCTTGATTTGCCAGCTTCCAGGGCTGGGCTTTCTGAAAGAATGTCAAACATCCTTGGAATCCTTGGGTAGCCCTTGTTGCCTGGCACAGATCCAATAAATTTGTGGATTTGAGAGCTCTCACGTGCCTCTAGTTGCTCTAGAATACTTTAAGCATTAATGAGGAAAAAGTCAAAACAGGGCAAGTTGCTATTTTAGGAATGTGGGGTAGTATGTGCTCTTAGGTTTGAGATATCAAGGAAATCAAGCAAAATCTAATTCATGTTAGCCTCTAATATGGTTTCCAAAGAGTAGACTGTACCCTACATTATCGGTTCCAGGTAGAAATATCAGGAGAAAAAAATAAAATCAATAGGCAAAGTAAATTTAAGTCAAAATTAGTGGGAGAGTACAAGAGTAAAGACTAAACACACCCAAAAAAATGTAAATTGGAGAAAGCTTGCCTTATATTTCCAATTATAAATGCAATATGGTAAATATTAACTATGTCAGTGATGTAATGGAGCACGCCAACATGCAAGTACATGATTCATTGAGTATTCAGAATGGCACTGGTGTGTAAAAAGGCTGTTTACCACGTCTGTCCCTTTCTCACAGATAAAATGCTATAAATATTTGCTTCGGGTAATGCAAACACTGCAAAAGCTCATTGTGTGATTCGCTAACATCATATTATTCAAAATGGCCTCTTAACCAACCAAAGAAACTGATATTTGTCAAGCAGAGGCTTGTAAGGTTATAATAAATGTTTTACAATGACTATATAACTCCTTTGACCTAAAAGTGTCCCGACAAATATAGGAAACTGAGAGTAGCTGGGAAGGATAATGTTACTTCCTCACTTTCCTTAAAGATGGTAGCACCTCTGGGTGCACCCTCCACTCAGCTAACCCATTCAGATAAGGACACAATTTGTAATTGAGCAATGAACACTGTAGAAGTGCTACTCACCTATTGAAAACGACACCAAAGCATGAGAAAACACAGAGTGAGTTTCTATCAAATCTTCAGCCATCTGTGGGTGAAGGAAAAAGCTAAAAGAAGGGAAAAGATAAACACACTAGTTTAGATAAAGCATTTCAAAATTAAAAAAAAAATGTTTGTGGAACTTTATTTAAGAGTGATATTTGTACAATTAATACGGCCAACCTTATCTACATTAATGTGACTCAGGTTGTCAGTGCCAGTTAAGGTTCGTGCTGGATCATATCTTGAAATCTACTCCCTATGAGATGCATCCTGGTGCAAAATCCGGCCAAGTAGTATGGACAAATAAAAGTCGACAGTGACTAACAAAATCAAATTTAAGTCAGACATAAAACGAGGTCGATATATAGGCTATTTAAATCAATATTTGAATACAACCGCCAAACGCCAACATCCATTAATGAGCACATGCTCAGAGGCTAAATATATTTGAACCAATCATTTCCGATCAGATCCTGATTTCATTAAAAAGAAAACTAAATAAAACAGTTTTTATTAGGTTTAACTTACCAAAGCACGGCCCATATCGCAGTGATAAGACTGTGCACACAGGATGTTGAGATATTTCTCCATTTCCATGCATTCCTGCAGGCAGATTCAGGCATGGGGAGTTTTGTGACCCCAGCGTTGACAAGTCTGAAAAACCCGACGGAGCTTCCAGTCGTTAAAATCGCTGAACTCAACTCCATAGTTGAAATGTTTGTCTTGTAGGTGAAGACTTCTCAGGCCACACTTGTCCACAATGTAAGCGGTGTATAAACGCAGCTGAGCCTACGACTGTGGACGACTCTGCTACTTGTTTGCGTCGACCGAGACAATCACGTTAACTTACCGGTGTTTTCCCAAACATAAACGGTCTCTCGTCAGTCAAAGATGCGTATGAAACGCAGAAAAAAAGTGTTTCTTTTACGGTGATTGACCAAAAAGAGAAGGCGCGATAAAACTGTCAAATGATTTACCTCCGACTCTGGCTGAATATGTATGATGTTTTTCTGTGATAGTCCCCCTAAAGAAAGATCTGTGGTCACGGGTGGTACTGATAGAGATGAAGCCCCGTTTACAGTTGTGAAACCGACCTGTTGTAAAACCCCATCCCTTGCTTGTGTAACTTTTTGACATCAACAGAAACCAAACAACGGCTTCTCCCCGCCCTACTATAAAGAGGCGCGGCCAAGAGCACGTTTCATGTGTTGTGTGACGTTCAAGTACTGTCGGAAATGTTTAATTCACAAATTAAAGATCATTTACCGTACCAATACTACAATACACAGTACACTCTGAAATATACAAATACCGGCAGTACATAAATATTTTATGTGCTTTGCAGTTTGGTATCAAAAAGAAATTATACAAGACGTCTGCTAATCATTAATCAAAATTAACTTTGAAAAGCTTTGGGAAATGTTTCTCAAATGTTTTTAGGGCTTCAACTAACGATCATTTTCATTATCAGTTGCTTTTTTATTGATTAATGCTTTGTCTATAAAATATACACAAAATACTTATATGCTACAAAATAAATAAATGTGATATAAAACAGAAAACAGCACATCCACACATTGAAGAAGCTGAAATCAGAGAATATTTGGCAACTTTTTTTTAAAATTACTAAAACAATTAATCTACTATCAAAATAGTGGTTAATCAGTTCATTCTTGCTGCTCTAACTTATTTAATACTTTACACTTATTTTCTTTAATCTTCTCAGTGTTACCTCACCACTATCCACAATTTTTCTATGCTGCATTGTGGGACAACAATATCCATCAATAGCACATTTAAATCAAGCAAGCTGGTGGTATATCGCCAGTGACATCTTGAAAGTATAAATTACATAGTAACTTTTCAAGTGTGCAAATACTGAGGCTGTGTATCAAAACTCAATAGTTTTCTGGCATCAACAGAGGTGTGTCGGTAACACTAAGCATCAAAAACTAATAGCACTGGGTTGCTGGTCAGATTTGTAGTCTTAATTCCTAAATTTAAATCAAAATTTTGCTTCTAAAATGGAACAAAGTATATTGTGTCGAGCAGAAGTACTAGCAGGTACAGTCAAAGGAGGATAGCAAATTACGAAGAGCACTTGAAGGAAACATTGCCTTTAACCCACCTTATTTGTTCACGTTTGTGGGAATATTTTACATACAGTTAAGGACTGACCATGGTAATTTGTTTTGACACATTTATCATACACTGGTATTTTTATATTTCAACTCGACATCAGAACTTGATGAATATTTTACTTTTCAGTGTTGTTTCAATTAGTGGAAGTGACTAAAGCAGTGCTGTCCTCATCACGTCAGAGCCTGGCCATGGACATGAATGACACAGCGCCATCATCTGGATAAAGGCCATTTGACATTGGTACAATGCAGTTCCAAGGTGGAAATACTCAGCCATGGTGTTAAGTGCTTATTTCCCTTTTAATATATCTTGTATCATATATAAAGAACACCACTTTAGTTGAGTATTGTAATTTCCTGCTACTTTATAATTCTACTTCATTACAATTCTGGGGGAAATATTGTACTTTTACTCCACTACATTTATTTGATAACTTTGGTTACTTTGTTGATACATATTAATAAATATATATAATCAACAAATAAATTATGATTTACAACGAGGTACAGCGTCCATCAATCTGTCTGACTGCTGTTACTGACTGCTGTTACTCATCCTCAGTGTCCGTGGCTAATCTCCATCCGCTAGACTTCACGGTGTAAATCTAGTCGCTCATCCCTCCCCGGTGACGGTTGGTGGTGGGAGGAGCTCGCGGTGGAACACAGGACCCCGGCTGGCTGTCACGCGGGCGGTTTTCGTTAAGTGCGCGTACTTGGCCTCATTGCTGGAAACGCTGCAGAGGAGCAGTATATGACGACAGATGCATCGTTACATGACCACTGATATATAGAAGAAAGCAGGTGAGCTCAGCGTTTCCGGGCTTTGATATTTCGCTGATAAATGTTGCCATGTATGAAGTATACAGAGGCCATATATAATCGATAACATATGGTGCTTTTCACATCTACATGTTAGCCTACAGTCTCTCATCTTCATTCTTCACTGTAACGCTATGGCGTCTGATTTCAAAATAACAATATCTGTTGAAGACTTGGATTTCTGTTCTGTCAACTAAAACCAAAAGCTGTAAATACTGTTATGGGAATATACAGCACTGTGTAAAAGGTTTAGGCAGAAAAATGAAAGTGAGGGTACTTAAATAATGCCATGATTCGTTTTTATTCATCAGTTAACTTCATGTTCAGTAAACAGACAAACACTAAATCAAATGTGTATGGTGTACAGCTGCAATGATTAGTTGAGTAATGGGTGGGCAGAAAAACTATTTTAATAGAGCGAAAAATGCCACATGTTTGATAATGCCATGTTCTCAAATGTAATAATTGGCTGCTATTCCAGTTTTACCTTAAATATTTGTGGGTTTTGGACTGTTGGTTAGACGAAACAGGCCATTTTATGAGGTCCCCACCGTTTTAGGAATTCTCGATATTGGAGATAGTTCTTTGTGATTTTGTGGCTGTATATTTGGGCTCCTTGTCATGCTGCAGAATTAATTTGGAACTGAACAGATGCCTGATCAGAGCCTAAACATCATGTGCCTAAAACTTTTCCACAGGGGGATATATTTTATATTAGTGTTAATTTTTGGCCCTGTGGTTAACATAAAGAAAAAAACTAAGATCAATAACATACTAGGCTAATAAAATGTACATTTAAATGAAATTCCTTAATGCTTGTGTCCCATGTGTCCATTGCTGAGCCTGTTTTTGGTCCAACCAAAGCCAGTTGTAATTCAAGGCCAGTCAGCCTAGCAGACAGGTTTTATAATATAATAATACAAGTTTCTATAGGTTTCTCAACATATCCACGTCTTGTAGTTACAGTATGAATCAGTGCCAACAACCAGGTCAAAGTGAGGAGCAGGAGGAGGTGACTGGACTGGTATGTCAGGAGGATCACCTGAAAGATGGGCAGTAAGTCACAAGGGTTCTTCTCACTGGAAAAACAAGATGATCAATACTTTATGATATCTTAATTTGACTTATTTGTATTTGAAAGTTACATTTTCCTCACCGTTTTCTCTCCTTGTCTGTTTTGTGTTTATGAAGGATGAAGGAAGTAACTGTAGGGGACCAGAAGGTGTTGCTTGTCCGTACCCACGGTCAGTACAGTGCTGTTGGAAGCCAGTGCTCTCATTACAATGCTCCTCTTGTCAAAGGTAAGTCTTCATCTCTATATACCAATATCTCAATAAATAACTTAACAAAATGTTTTTTGCATTGAATTGAGTCATATTAATGCATGTCCTCTGATAATCCAGGAGCATTGGTTGGTGACAGAGTCAGATGTCCCTTTCATGGTGCTTGCTTTAATGTCAGAACTGGAGATATTGAAGAGTATCCAGGTCTAGACTGCCTGCCCAGCTATAAGGTGAAAAATGTCTTTCAGCAGTTTCACAGGAACAAATCCAGAAGAGAGATTCTCCCCAGTTTACAGTGTAGTCACATGTGTGACGGTTTATTTGTACAAATTAGTGGACCCATTTATTAACCCGAATTGGGTTTAAGTTTTGTAAGGTAGATGAAGTTTGCAGGCTTTTTAAAAAATATCTAAAAGTTAAATTAGATATCTTACTATTTGTTTTGACAAAGAACGTAATCGAATAAAATAGGAATATTTTGTCAGCTGTTACATTCTATCATTATGTATGCAAATTCAGAATAAATACCTCACTGAGTATGTTTGGTGAAAACTGCAGTGTGGAACTTTTTTCTAAGTAATTCCACAAATGGCACTCTCCAACAAGTAAAAGCCACGCCAATGGCTGCCTCTGCACCAATAACTTATGGTTGACCTAAAATACATTTCTACCAGTGTGCCAGCACAGGAATGTCGCCACACACACTATACTTAAAATGTCTACTGCGAAATATGGAGAGATTTATCTGCTGCTGATAGGCTTAGTCAGCATTGTGTGAAGTAATTTGGCATGTGCTAGAATGTAACGGACATTCATTTATATGTAAAAGTCCCACACATGGTCTCACACCAGATTTTTTTTCTCCAAATATGTTTATTGGATTTTCAAGAACACTAAAATGTCAAAAAAGTTGCATTACTCGTTGCATTGTTGTGTCAAATATACCATCAAAAGTAACAGGGCATGTCTATAAAGTGCAGTACAAATACATGAACAATCTTATAGAAAGAAGCCCGCACTCCAGCTTTAACCAAAATTTTGTTCCTCTAACAAAGGTTACTGTTGTTCAAGGTACTTCCTTGTTCTTTGAAATATTTCTCTTTTTCTTTTACTTTCTTTTTTTCTTTTTTTGTTTTAACAGTGGATGCTCTTGTCAACATTTTACCTCTGGAAACATTATTCTGAATTTACAGAGATTTTTTTATATTATTTTAACAGGTCAAAGTTGAGGATGGCAAGGTGTACGTTTCCATCAGCACAAAAGTAAGAGACAGCAAGTTAAAAACGCTTAAAACAGCCACAGTGTTTCCTTTTATTTTGTGTTAAAATACACTATTTTGAACAGTCCCTTGTTTGTTTGTTTCCCTCAGTCTCTTAAACTGACCAAGCGAGTGAAGGAGATGTGCAGCTTGGTACCAGACATCAAACATACTATTCTGCTCATAGGAGGGGGTAAGGATTGGATGTACCTAAGAGTTTAAATTATAAGTCCAAAGTCATTTTATTTGAAGAGATTAGCAGGTTGGAGGCACTGCACTGTTTTGAAACAAAGTTTTGGTTGCAGCTTAAATATTCAGTTTTTGTATTTTAAAAGGTTTATATTTTGAAGGATGAAGAAAGAGATTAAGGTCTAGAGATGATGCGCAAGTTAATTTGGTGGTCTAGTGTTACCATGTTTCCTTATGCTCCAACTCTGGGGTAAAGTACCCTTTGAAAAATTACACACTGAACATTTTGTGATTTCAGGCCCTGCCTCCCTGGTATGTGCTGAGACTCTGCGACAGAACTGCTACCAAGGTCGAATCATCATGGTCACCAAAGATACCCTTCCTCCATTTGACAAACCCAAACTGAGTAAGGTAAGAACTTGACCATAATGGCAAGGTAACCTGTATTACTATCTATTGGTATCCAAGTGTTGATCATCCTGTATTTAGATGCAAGATGTTAGTAAATGGCATTGCCTCCTTTCAGGCTATGAACCTGGACAGCAGCAGCATCCTCCTCCGCTCAAGTGAATTTTATCAGCAATATGGAATAGAGGTGTGGACACAGAGGGAGGTGAGAGGCAAAGGGGACAATCTATTTATGATGTACTCTCACCATCTTTTGGAAAAAAACTAATTCTCTCTTTGGTCCTTGTTAAGAAATGTGTTTTGTATTGCAGGTTGTGTCAGTAAACCCAGCTGAGAAGGCAGTGAAGTTGAATGATGGCATTTTGCAGCATTACGACCAGCTCCTCATCTCAACTGGCTGTAGGTTAGACTCATCATCCTGTTGCTCAAATCTTTCAGAAACAAAAGCAATGAAAAACATTTGTAATTGCTGAGTTGCAAGATTTTCATGTTACAACAGCACAATAATAATCCTTATTTTGTTGACAGAGCGCAGCCACTCAGCTGTCCTGGTTGTAACCTGCAGGGAGTAAAGCTACTGCAGAGTTATGAAGATGCCAAAGATATTCACAACTCCTGTCTTGGCCAGAGGGCTGTCATCATCGGGGCCTCCTTCATAGGTTATCAAATTTTATTTCTTTACATTGCAAAAAGAAATTGATAGTGTTCATCTTTGTAAACATGAGCTTGTAGGTGTCTGTTTTTGTCTTGATTATTGGATTAACGTGATGTTCTATTTGGAGGGTCATTACCTGATTCATAGCCCTCTCGCTAAATATTAAAAATGCAATTTAAATATTTGACAGTACAAGATAAAGCTGCTTTATGACACATGTAATCGCCTCTATTGCATACCAAAATTGCAGGCTATTCAAGTGTTTTTCATGACTATTACACACAATAGGTATGGAGGTAGCATCATTCTTATCAGACAAAGCTGCCAGTGTGGCCATGGTTGGCACTACCAGATACCCGTATGAGCGATCTCTGGGCACGGAGATTGGCAAAATGACGATGCAAGTAAGTACCTAAGAGGGGACTGATCTATCACTGTCAGAACACTGTTATCTTTAGCTTCTATTGAATGTTGAATTTTAAAACAAAATTTTCTCCCATAAGATGCTGGAGGAACAAAATGTGAAGTTTTACATGAATGACAGAGTCACTGAGATTAAAGGGGAGAACGGCAAGGTAACGCTACCTTTTTTCTACCAGCATAGACTTTGTAGGTGTCAATAATAAAATCAACAATGTCTCCATTGTATTCAAGTGTCCATATAAACCATGACAGTGTGACAGTGAGCATACCTGTGCCTTTTTTACTGACACAAAATGTATTTGATGAAAAAAGCCTATTTTCACTGAAACTGCAATTGTAATGCTTCAGTCATGGTGTATATTCTTTTTTTTTTTCAGGTGAAGGAGGTTGTACTAAACAGTGGAACAGTCCTGGAAGCTGATGTGGTGATTACTGGAATCGGTAAGGTTATTATTCTAATTCAAGGTGTTGGCATATACAGTACAATTTTCATTAATATAACAGAACACAAGTTTTGTACTATTTTAAGGTGTTGACATTTTAATATGTGGACTGTTGCTGATTTGTTAACAAGTCCTTCACATTCAGACGGTGTCCTGTGCTGTTCTGCAAAGATCGCCAAAAATCAAATACAAAGATCTGTTTTTCAGGTGTAATCCCCAATTCAGACTTCTTGGCTGGAAGTGAGGTAGAGATGGATTCAAGGAAAGCTGTGATTGTTGACAAGGTAACACACAGTAAATAGAGGACATAGGCTAAATGTAATCACTGTGATACTGATATAGCTAATGAAGCATGAACGTGGCTTCACAGATTTATATTTACAACTTTGTCTGATGGTTGCAGTTGATTTGAATTGCTTGTTTGAGTATTTTTGGCCAAACATGAATGTATTATATTATGTGAAACCCTCAGCTGCATCCAGGTGACGGAACTGAATAGCGGTGTATATACTGTATATACATGTCTTTGTAAACCTAATCCTGAGGCTCTTGCTGTAAACTCCTTCATCCTTTCTAACAGTTCATGAGGACCAATATAGGAGATATTTTTAGCGCTGGAGATGTAACCTCCTTCCCTCTGGCCATTCGTGGAGACCAAAGAGTCAACATTGGTCATTGGCAAATGTCACAAGCTCAAGGTAAGAGACTGAAGTCAAAGAAGCAAAGGCTGATATTATGTGCCTCGGTTTGGGGTTGCTGATGAAGCTGGATTTTACCTTTATGATGCCTGTTTCTTTTTTTTCTTTATCTCAGGAAGAGTAGCTGCACTGAACATGCTAAACAAACCAACCAAAATTGAGTCTGTTCCTTTCTTCTGGACTGTGTTGCTTGGGAAGAGTATCAGATACACCGGTAGAGTATTTATTTATTCTATTTACAGAGTATTTATGGAGAAAATGTCACCTTATGCCCTGGCTGTGTTGATTCTCATTACCCCTTTTCATTTCCTCATTCTAGGCTATGGGGAAGGATACACAGAAATTATATTCAAAGGCAAAGTGGAAGAGAGGAAATTCCTGGCATTTTACATAAAGTGAGCAACTGATGAATAACTGCTGATACAGGTGGACTATGAATTTATGCCATTTGTGTCAAACTTCTTTCATTTCCCCTTTGTCAACAGGGATGAGGTGGTGGTAGCTGCGGCCAGCCTGATGTTCGATCCTGCGGTGGCTCGTCTCGCAGAGCTGATGGCTTCTGGCCATGTTTTAAAAAAGGCACAGGCTCAGTGAGTGGCATCTTGCATTCACACAAACCGGACTATCTGTCACACATGGTTGGAAGTGAAATGCACCAATTACCTACAGTGGATTCAGCTTTAACTATTACTCCTGCATTTATGGATTTTTTTGGCCACATTGGGGCAGCAGAAACATGCTGTGAACACAAAATTGACATGTAATGACCTTATTGGTTGATATAGAGAACTTGTTAGCATATGTTGGTTATTTACACACCTGGCAGTTAAGGAGCAACATTAGCATTCAATTGGAGTTGTGTTTGTGTCCACCTGGTGAATTTAATATTCACTCCACTTGTAGTTTTGCACCAACTCCAGACAACAGGCAACAGAAATATCTGGCTCTTTAGCTTCTAAATACTTCACTATATTCACCAGGTAGCCACTGCCTTTATCTGTATGCTGTTTGGTGCTGCTGGGCAAGGGGCAGCTGTGAAACAATGACCTGAAAGATGCTGAAACACTGTGTAGAACCGACGGTAACAGCAGAGTTGGGTGATAATTCTCTGTAGGCCATTCACTATTAGCACCACTGTTAACTTTGAACATAGTAATTTGATCCAAAAACCACCTGCTCCAAAAACAGACTAGATTGGAAGCCTGGAGGACGTTATATTCATGTAAACACTATAAGGGGATATACAGTACGTTATTGGGTTTCTTTATTTTCCATGTAAACATCAAACCCCATTCACAGGATAAGACTCATAACCTGCATGCTATTCTTTATTAAATATTTGTTTTCTCACTCCTTTATCTTTTCAGAGCTGATGACCTGACATGGCTGCAGATGTGACATAAGGTCTGCTGTATTCAGGAGTGTAACACCTCTCATTGACGATTGAAGTTGCCTCTCTCTTCCTTGTTCCTCTCTTTAATAGTGCCAAGGTGGATTGCTCCATTTACTGCCTCAGGTCTCCTGAAAGCCAATCAGACCTCTTGTCTGCTCTTACTCAGACAACCGTTACCATGGCAGAAAAACACAGCTTTATTGAATTTGCAATTTGTATACCCAGTGAATAATCTTATCTTTATGTAATGAGCATTGCCTGAATAAAACTAAACTGACTTGCAGCAGTTTCATCTGTATTTATTCCAGGTTTTTGACCACAGCTATACTAATAATGTGACGTGAAGAGCATCACAAGTTGTGATTGTTAGCTGTACAACATAATGTGTTTTGTGTACTTCAAATTTTAAAGTTCCAAGCAATAATAGTACTTAGTATAGAAATAGTAAAGACAGTAATTTTAGCCACTCCACTCAACCTGTCTGAGGAGTTATAGTATATTTAGGAGTACCTCCTTAAAAATCTAAAATACAAACATATGAATGTTTATCATTAATAGTTTGTTCACTATTTTTCATTTACATTTGAGACTTGTTTCATGTGTAATGCAATGCCTTAATCTACTATACTGTTCTCAAGCCCGAAATTATTCATACCCCTGGCAAATTTTGACTTAGTTACTTTTATCCAACCAGCAAGTTTTTTTTTTTTTTGACCGGAAATGACACAGGCTTCTCCCAGAAGATAAGACAATGTACAAGAGGAATCATTGTGTTTAAAAAAAAAAAAAATATATATATTTCTCAGCTTTTATTTACATTTGAACAAAAAGTGGCATGTCCAAAATTATTCATACCCTTCTCAATAATCAATAGAAAAGCCTTTATTGGCTATTACAGCAATCAAACGCTTCCTATAATTGCTGACCAGCTTTTTGCATGTCTCCACTGGTATTTTTGCCCATTCATCTTTAGCGATGAGCTCCAACTCTTTCAGGTTGGAGGGTCTCCTTGCCATCACCCTAATCTTTAGCTCCCTCCACAGATTCTCAATTGGATTCAAGTCAGGACTCTGGCTGGGCCACTGCAAAACGTTAATGTTTTTGTCCGCTAACCATTTCTTCACCACTTTTGCTGTGTGTTTTGGGTCGTTGTTGTGCTGAAATGTCCACTGGTGCCCAAAGCCAAGTTTCTCTGCAGACTGCCTGATGTTGTTGTTGAGCATCTTGATATATTGCTCTTTTTTCATGGTGCTGTTTACTGTGATTAGGCTCCCTGGTGCATTGGCTGAAAAACACCCCCAAAGCATTATGTTCCCACCACCATGTTTGACAGTGGGGATGGTGTTCTTAGGGTTGAAGGCTTCTCCTTTTCTACGCCAAATGAAGGATACATCATTGTGGCCAAACAATTCAATTTTTGTTTCATCTGACCATAAAACAGAAGACCAGAAGTCTTCTTCTTTGTCCAGATGATCATTTGCAAAGGCCAAGCGGGCTTTTGTGTGCCTTATCTGGTCTGGAGAAGTGGCGTCCTCCTTGGTCTGCGTCCGTGCAACCCAGCAGTGTGCAGTGTCCGTTGGACTGTCTGCCTTGAGATGTTGCCACCAGCAGAACCCAGATTCACCAGGATGGCCTTGGTGGTGATCCTTGGATTCTTCTTCACCTCTCTCACTATCTTCCTGGCCAGCACAGGTGTCACTTTTGGCTTCCGACCACATCCTCTGAGATTTTCCACAGTGCGGAACGTCTTGTATTTTTTAATAATACTTTGCACTGTAGCCACTGGAACTTGAAAACATTTAGATATGGCCTTATAGCCCTTTCCTGACTTGTGAGCAGCCACAATGCACAGTGAGCTCCTTTGTCTTAGCCATGACTGTCCACAAACCAACTGCAGAGAGCTGCTGTTTTTCACCTGTTAAGTTGATTAAAACAGCTGTTCCCAATGAATAAGGGTAATTAGGATGCTTTAGAACAGCTTGGACTATTTGGAATGGTAGAGAACTTTGGATTTTCCCATAGACTGTGACAGTTTGCAAAGGGTATGAATAATTTTGGACATGCCACTTTTTGTTCAAATGTAAATAAAAGATGAGAAATATTTTTTTCCACAATGATTCCTCTTGTACGTCGTCTTATTATCTTCTGGGAGAAGCCTGTGTCACTTCCGGTCAAAAAAAACCTTGTTGGTTGAATAAAAGTAACTTTAAGTCAAAATTTGCCAGGGGTATGAATAATTTCGGGCTTGACTGTAGTGTAAACCCTGTAGTGTGTGATTTCAGTGTCTGATTTTGAAATTAAATTTGGATAAAGAGAGAAAAGGTAAGAAAGCACTTCATAGTATCTTTAATGAACTAGAATCTGGTTGCTTTAATGCTCAGGTATTAAATGAATTTGTTAAGTTAGGAGTTTCAGCAGCACTGATTATCGTCATCATGTTTACTGTTGTCAGCCTGTGGGTGCAGGATGTGTTTTCTGGATTTTTTCCCCCTGCAGTTGTTTATGTTACACAGTACAATAAATCATTGCTCATGTCACTCCCTCCAGGAAATAGACGACACCACGATTCGTTGTTACTGATGGAAATATTCTTTCTACTTCAAACAGCACCATCATCACCATGACTACCACCACCATCGAACTAATTAGATGCCTATTGTAAAAATATTGTAAAAAGTAAACACACACACTTGTTTTAAAACACACTACTGACACGTAAAAATAAACACACAAGATGACACATAAAGTAAATAACATACCTTGCTGGCTGCACATGACCAAGAGTGAATGAATGGACCAAAATAAATATTAACAGCACTGCATCACCTTTTTAAACTTAAACCTTAATCGAGTACAAAACTAACCTTTATCCAACTCCACGTTTTTTCTGAGGTAAAATGTAAGTTTGTAGCAAATTTAAAGTGTTCCTGTGCAACACAGGCACAAACTTAGTTCCTACAACCTGCACATATCCAATAAAAATAATATATATATATAATCATATCATAAAATAAATCACAATGTGTACAAACAAAACATATCAAATGACAACATAAACACATTTTTATGGCAGTTAAATTTCATTTATAGATAACATTTGCTACTACACTTAATTTGTTTTGTGTATTGACTGTCTGATATTTAGTTTTGAAATAGACAAAACATCATCTTCATGTGTGGTCAAACCCTTTTTATCAAACACATTAGGGAGTGATTATTGTGTTTGGGTTTTTTTCCACTTTTGTTATTAATTGCAGTTCTGAATCTGTTCTGTTTGTCCTTTTCTGTCAAACTGGGCTTTTTGTTCATTTAACATCTCCCTTAATAGTCTTCTTGGCTGCAAGTACTTGATCAGATAAGCAACACCTGTCAGTGTATGTCTCTTCTATATTACACGGTTGCAGCAGAGAACAGATTTTGACTACAAAAACAGCAAGATCCAAGTTGGGAAATGAAAAACTTTTTATTTAACATGTTTACTTTACTCAAGTGGAATTACTCAATGAGTTCAAAATATGAGAAAGTATAATTACTTTGTTAATTAAGTCATTTTATTGTGACATCATTAACACTACTATTATATTACCACAGCGATGAACGTATTTATAAACCATGTCCATTAACCAAACCATTATCTGAAAAAAAAAACTTTCCTTAACTACATCACTACAATATGCGATGGCTTGCACATAAAAAATAATCAGCCTGTTGTGAACCTTTAAATAAAAAACGTTTTATTTATTTTATTTTTGCAGTTGTCCTCAGTCTTCAGAACAGTTTCCTCTGTATTCGGCTGCGTCTTTATTTGCTTGTTTTGGAGCATTTTTTTACAGACGATCCCAGTTTGTCAGCCAACAGGAATGGATTGAGGTGGCAGTACTGAGGAAAAAAATAATATCAAGGGTCACTCTGTTAATGTAGAACCTTAAACAAACCTTAAATATGTCAAACAAATTGTTTGTTACTATCAAAGCTTAAGCTGTGCAACTGCTATACAGGCTTGTATTTAAATATTTGATGCAGCACATTACAATAATTAAATGATTTCAAATCATTAAAAGATCATTTAATTTAATTGTTGCATGCAAAAAGTGGGTCAACAATACAATCCATCTGGGTTCAGTTTGTAATGAGCCATGTAAAATGAAAGCATCTTAGCCAGTAAACCCAGAATATCAGCTACCTGTGGTGTTGACTCTGAGCTGGAGTCTGGTTTATCCAACATCTGAATTTTGAAATCAGAGAAGAAACGGGAACTCCGGATGATTTCTGCCATTTCTCCACTTACCTCCACTGCAACATCTTTCTGCATAGCACAAAAGTAAACATTAACCTAGTCACAAAATAAAAGACCATTTTTCATGTTAATATATACAGTGCGTGTTATTTTTTCTTGATTGAACAATGTGCCACAGGTTATTAAATGCTCTTATGTAATCGTTGATCAGCAATTCAGTACTGGCCTGTTTGGCCATTTTTATTATACCTTGAAACAGTGTGATGAATCAAAGTCCAGTTGATCTGGGAAACCTGCCAGAGTCCCTTTATAGGTCACTGTTGCCTCAGACATGACAGGACTTTTGGGCAGCTTAAAGAGCCGGTAAGTGCCTGAAGCATAGCTGATGTCACCTGCAAATTGAAGAACGAAGATTGTTCATATATATCAAAAGTCTAAATTTTATCCTTGATTTTGTTACCTGCTTTTGCTTTGAGTTCACTGTTGTGGACAGCAATGTGGCTTGCTGAAACAAGATGTGGAGTGCTGAAACCAACACTGTGGGCCAAAGAAATTAGGTCTTGCCAGAACAGAGAACCACCCATTCCTTCACCTAACACCGAAAAGAAATAGATCACAGCCAATATAAACTATGTGTCAGTGACACAGGGTGTCTACAATGTATTCCTGCACTTTACATTGCATTTTAGATAATGATGCAGTGTTGTTTTACCCCATAAGACTGTATCTTGTTTCACGTGGTCAGGGACAACTTTGCTGGCATACATGTCACTGAAGTACATTTCACCTCCCTCCTGTGTAAAAAGAGTAAGTGATGATGATTTCCATTAGTATTTTTCACATTAATTTAGATGGTAGAAATTCTTCAGACTCACCTTTAGCATGTTGTAGGCTTGCTGTAGCACTGTTCTTTTATCAGGACACAAACAGATTACACAGTTGGATCTGAATAGATTAGAAGAAAGGAAAAAAAACTGTTTTGTTTATCAGCCTGTCAAAGCTCTATTATAGGAACAGATCAGACAGTCCATTGGCAGATCTTGTAGAGTCTTAACAAGGTTTTAAACCTACAGCACAACATCCATTGAGTCACTCTGTATGCCAGCTTCACCAAGATTCTCCATGTACCCCTGGACAAAGGTCACATTAGGCTCCTTATAGCCAAACTTCTTCTGATGATACTCAGTATACTGACGAGATACAGTAATCTAAAGAGAGAAAAGTTAAATCAGTAGAAAGTGCAAATATCCAGTATCAAAGGTGTGTGTACATGCATGTGTAATTACCAGCTCCTCTGTCATATCGATCCCTGTCACATGTCCCTTTGGTCCAACAAGTTTACTAAAGGCATAACAGTCTCTGCCAGAGCCGCTGCCAAGGTCCAGCACCCTGCAGCCATCAAGTTTTGCTGGGAATGGAAGACCACAACCGAAGAATCTGGAAGTATTAAGTTTATGAAAATTACTGTGGAAAGCATAGAGACATCACAGAGATAGTTATGTGGTGTAATGGATGAAAATGATTTAAGAAAGACCAGAAGTAAAACTGTTTTATCTAGTGGATGTCATTTTTAACCACGAGATGTAGGTCACACATGACTCATGGGAGAGCTAATGTCTGAATTTCAGTATACTGGACAACACCTGACAATGGTCGCAAAGGCTTTTTTGGGAATATGTGTATGGTTTCCAGAGTATTTACAGAGATGTTCAATAACTCATTTGTCAATGAAACTGTGTCCCGATCACAAAGGATTTGTGCTCAGTGTGAGACAACAATGTCTGTTGTGTATGTGTTTGATTTGTATGTGCCCTGTCTGTGTGTCATGCTTCTGTTGTCTCATTACCACTGCACCTTCCAGCTACTGTTGAACATGTACGTATATGATGAAGAGGCAATATAAAGGTGAGAAAAGACTGAAAACTATACCTTTTGGTCACCTCCGGGTGAACCAGGCTCAGTGCATCTGTGACACTTCTTGGCACTGGGCGGCAGTGCAAACTGCAGGAGGCAGCACTTGTTTGCAAATCACCTGAGGACTCCAGTCGACTGCCATAATATTTCTGCACGCACACACACACACACAAGCACACACACACAAAAACACACAAACACCATTTTCGTCAGCGTATAACAAATTGTCAACAACTACTTTATCATTAAACTACATTGCTTTGCATGCAGTCTACTTCAAAACTAGCAAACAAAATAACATCTTCACTACCATCACATACTGTTAGCATTAGAGTAACTTACGTGGCCCTGTTATTGTGTAACGATAGTTAAGAAATTTCTACAATGTAAAAAGTACATATAATTGAGCAACTGCTGTGCAATGTGAGTTACTTTAGATGAAAAAAACTCTAAATTTCGAAAGAAGATAAAACTGGACGGTGTCTGATTCAAACTAAGAAGAAGTACCTTCACGTTGTCCCGCACGTCGTCACAAGTCGCCATTACTTTCGAAAAATTACAATAGGGCTACATAAAAGAGTTTATCTACACCAGACAAAGGCCAAACACCGTGGTACAATCAAAGTTCAGTCACATATGCCCTCTGCTGAAACCGTCACCAGCGCAAAAAACTTTTCCGGTTCATTCTTTCAGAATAAAAGCTTAATTCTTGACAATTGTCAGTAAATTTAAATTTAACTTAATCTAAAAAGAGTTCAAACAAAAAAAACCCAAATAAGTAAAAAAGTTATTTTGGAAAAAAGGAAAAGAAAAGAAAACAAATATTTCTGCAGCAAAATGGAACTAGAAGTGAGTTAATGTCTTTCTTTCTTTCTTTCTGTCTTTCTTTCATTTCACAGTTTGCTTGTTTGCTTGCTTGTTTGGCTCTCACTTGTTTGGCGGCTCCCTCAACATGTCTCAACTTTGTAACATTTGAATACAAAAGTGTGTTTACGTTGTGATCTCTGTCTGTCCCAAAAGTGCAGAGAGGTGCAGATCAGTAACGAGCGTATATTGAAGCAGAGCAGCAGCGCTCCTCTGCTGATTGCAAAGAGAACTGTGAAAAAGCTTACAGCACCTGGTATTCCCAGGCGGTCTCCCATCCAAGTACTAACCAGGCCCGACCCTGCTTAGCTTCCCGAGATCGGACGAATCGGCAGCGTGTTCAGAGTGGTATTGGCCGTAAGCGACAGTGAAGCGTAGACAAATACCCTCTTTAAACATGAAATGAATCATGTCCTTCATGCACAAAGCTGTGTTTTATATGTCTTGCGCAGGAGCCTTCCTTTTCACGTGTTGCTTATGCTTTTGGGCTCTCAACATGTCAACTTTGTAACATTTGAATACAAAAGTGTGTTTACGTTGTATCTGTTTGCTGTCCCCAAAAGTGCAGAGAGGTGCAGAGTAACAGGTTATTGAGCCGGAGAGCAGCGTCCTCTGCTGATTGCAAAGAGATCGGACGAGAATCGGGCGTGTTCAGAGTGGTATGGCACGTAGCGAACAGTGAACGTGACAAATACCCTCTTTAAACATGATGATCATGTCCTTCATGCACAAGCTGTGTGTTTATGTCTTGCGCAGGGACCTTTCCTTTTCACTGTTTGCTTGCTTGTTGGCTCTCAAATGTCAACTTTGTATAATTTGAATACAAAGTGTGTTTACGTTGTGTATCTGTGCTGTCCCCAAAGGAGTGCAGAGAGGTGCAGAGTAAACAGGTTATTGAAGCAGGAGCAGCAGCGTCCTCTGCCGATTGCAAGAGATGTGAAAAAGCTTACAGCACCTGGTATTTCCAGGCGGTCTCTCCCATCCAGTACTAACCAGGCCCGACTGCTTAGCTCTTCGAGATCGGATCGGAGATCGGGCGTGTTCAGGAGTGGTATGGCCGTAAGCGACAGTGAACGTGACAAATACCCTCTTTAAACATGATGATATGTCCTTCATGCACAAAGCTGTGTGTTTATGTCTTGCGCAGGAGCCTTTCCTTTTCACTGTTATGCTTGTTTGCTTGCTTGTTTGGCTCTCAACATGTCAACTTGTAACATTTGAATACAAAAGTGTGTTTACGGTTGTGATCTGTGCTGTCCCAAAAGTGCAGAGGTGCAAGTAACAGGTATTGAAGCAGGAGCAGCAGGTCCTCTGCTGATTGCAAAGAGATCGGACGAGATCGGGGCTGTTCAGAGTGGTATGGCCGTAAGCGACAGTGAACGTGACAAATACCCTCTTTAAACATGATGATCATGTCCTTCATGCACAAAGCTGTGTGTTTATGTCTTGCGCAGGAAGCCTTTCCTTTTCACTGTTTGCTTGCTTGTGGGCTCTCAACATGATCAACTTTGTAACATTTGAATACAAAAGTGTGTTTCTTGTTCTGTCTGTCCCAAAGTGCAGAGAAGTGCAGAGTAAACAGTTATTGAAGAAGAAGCAGCAGCTCCTCTGCTGATTGCAAAGAGATGTGAAAAAGCTTACAGCACCGGTATTCCAGGCGGTTTCCCATCCAAGTACTTAACACGGCCCACCCTCGCTTACAGCTTCCGAAGATCGGACGTAGAGTCTGGGCGTGTTTCTTATATGAAAATATATTTTCGTTAAAAAATACATTTTGGATCACATCATGTAGTTACATACACCACCATTATTCATCAGACACACAAATCCCCTCCATCCATTCAGACACAATCCAAACTAACACAGAGAACACTACAAAACAAAACATCTCAAGAAAAGGGAAAAAAAAAAGAAAAATAAAATAAGAAATAAAATACAACGTTTTCTCAAAACAATTTCACCTTACATCCCATTCCTTCTTTATACAGCATAAACCTAAACCTTTTGTGAAGACTTACTATTCAAAACAAAGAAATAAGAAAATATACAAACATACCCTCTAACTAAATAGAACATTTATCCAAAAAACTACACACCCCTAAGCACCTGCACTACAGCATTTCACACTCCTAACAAACACAAAAACCATAAAATAACATCAAAGCCAAAAACTCCTCTTATAACATAAAATTACATTTTAGTTTGACAATAATTAAATCACTAGTCACCTTAATTCAACTCTTATACATACATCGCCAAATTATAGTTGAAATATACACCCATTCAATTACCAGAAGATAAGAGTGAAAAAAACACACACAAACAAAACCATTACATCCACCCAGACTCATAAAACTCCCCTCATTACAAGATCCACACTTTATTACAGACTCATTCATTTCAACCAATCCCAAAATAAACCTCATGACAAATATTACAAAATCAACCCCCACATTAACAAAAAATAAAAAAATAATAAAAATAAAAATAAAAAATAAACGTACACCCCTCATAATCACCAATCAAATCTCAACTCCCCTCTTCCATTAACAGAAATCAAAGAATTGTCTCTGAGAAAGAGTAGGGCAAAATCTGTAGTTCCATTCAGCCATCTGAACCTAACATGTTTTCTAATGATGTTCCTAAAGATTGGCCAAACTAAATGCAATTTATTTTCGAAATGAGCTAAATTTCGGCGAATTTTGATGGCTAGTCGAGCATGACTAAGCAGAAATCTACATAGAGCTGCATTTTTCACCCTGCTCCTCCCCCAAATACCAAACAACATAAAAATCTCCCATGAATCATTTCCGTCCCAAATCAATCCTAATTTCTGAACCAAACAATTCTTCAATAAACCAAAAAAAACAACTAATTCAGTACAACTTTCAAACATGTGCAATAATGTTTCCGATACTAAACCACATACATCACACTCACGATCTATTTCCCTATTGATTTGGTGTAAAATAACATTTGTAAATATTTTATTGTGTCTGATTTTATAATCGTTATCTGCTGCTTCAATACTATTACCTTTAACCCTCCAGTCACCCCATATTTCGCTTGCTGTTAATTGTGGGAACATATTTTTCCAATACTTTAAGGATGCTGGTGGCTGTACCGCTCGATTCAAAAACAAATCATAGAAATATTTACATTTAACTTCCTGAAGTCCCACTTCTTCACCTCCATTTTTACATAGTAATACAGGTAATTTCTCCTCCCTTGATGTCACAATTTGGGTGTGTATCATATTCCTCCACCTCCTGGGAATGCTATCCTTCAGCACTTTATAATAATTCCTGATTGTAGCATAATTTACATCGTAATCTACTGTCTTTACAGTGTCATAAATGGCATTCGTCGGCAGAAACCCTGTTACTAATTCATAAATAATATCTTTAATTTGCACTATTCCTGCTCTTAACATCTTATCATTATACAACAATATACCGTTTGTTTTCACACATTCATTTAGGAAAATAGGCATATTTCGTACCATTCCAATTGACTCACACTTATATAATAAGTGCTGTAAAAATTCCGCTTGAGCAGACAGGACCTCCCTGTAAAAATACGAGAGACCTGCTGTCATCGGTTGTTTCAAACGCATTAGTAGCACAAAATCTCCTATGTCAAGTATTCGTGTTAAGAAAAACTTCATCATAGTTTTCCACATATAGGGCGTAGGATCATACAAGTAGTTTTTAACAACCTTCAATCGAAAAGCCCTTTTTTTACTTTCAATATCCACTAATTGTAGACCTCCCTCACTGTATTTACCAATTAGAGTTTTCCTAGCAATTTTGCTGACTGATGTTCCCCACAAAAAAGTGGTTATTAATCCATTTAATTTATTCAATACCCACAAGGGTAAGTCTATTACTGCTAAAACATAAGACAGTTTTGACAATATCAAATTATTCAAAACTATAACCTTTCCATTTAATTTGAGGTCTCTCATTTTCCAATAATTTAGAACCGATTCAATTTTCTTCAAGATTCCTGACCAAGTGAGATCTCTCGCTGCTATTGCATCTATTCCTATATATATCCCTAAGATTTTGACATGTTTACTTTGGATTGCAAAGGAAAGATCTGCTTGTTGCGGCCCAATCATATTTATAAACATCAGTTCTGATTTATTCATATTAATACGCGAACCCGAGGCTTGACCATATATATTAAATACATCTATCGCCCTTTGAATACTTGCCATATCACTCACCAGTAATGTCGTATCATCAGCGAACTGCTGGATAACACACACTTCTCCCCCTGGTAGCTCAATCCCTCTAATATACTTATCTGATTTAATTAATTTACTCAGTGGTTCAACAACTATTGTATATAAAATCGATGACAACGGACATCCCTGCCTTACCGATCGCTGTAAAGGAAAAGTATCAGTGACTATCCCATTGCATTTGACACTGCCTTTAGCATTTTTATACAATAATTGCATCCATTTTAAAAATTTTTCTCCAAATCCCATCTTACTTAATACACGAAACATAAAGGAATGTTCCACCCTATCAAATGCTTTGTTAAAATCAATTGCTAAAAGAATACCTTCTCTTTTTGTAAGTTTCAAAAACTCCACAACATCACGTATAGAGAATATGATATCCGATACCTCTCGACCTGGTACGCTGTAAGCCTGCGTAGGCTCTATAATAGTGTGCAGCACTTGCTTCACTCTATTGGCCAAAATCTTCATCAAGATTTTGTAATCATTATTTAATAAAGTAATCGGCCTATAATTTGCCAAATCATTTTTCTCC